TACTGCGGGTCTTCCATTACCCCGCCTCGTGTCATATTGACCCATTTGCACCGAAACAAAGGGACCTTCAAACCACGTCGATAGTCAAGTTCCCATATGTCCTATATATAATCATAATATGTTTCCTTTCCCATCTTGGTTTCTACATCAAAGCGGACACCACTGTTTTGGTTGGTGCTCTTCTTATCTTGGGCGATCGTGTAAAATGTATTACCATTTATCTCGTACCCTTTGAAAGTCATTATATTCGAAGATGGTAACTGGGACAGTAAGTACAGGTCATCTTCAATAGAGGCGTCATGCATGGTACGTGTCTGCAACCAGCTGGCGAAACTCCTGGTTTGTTCACGTGTAATCCAGTCATCAGACTGCTCCGGGTGTTTGGAGCGTAGCAAATTCTTGTGTTCATCCATATACGGAGCCACCAAAGCGGAATTCTTTAGAACCGTGTAGTGTGCTTCGGTGAGAGAATGTCCGTTCATACATATTATTTGTTCCCCTCCTAGCGTGCCTTTTCCATCCAGTCTGCCCTTATGCCACGATTCAGGAACACCAATCGGTTTAAGGTCAGGAATAAAGTCAATAAAAAACTCAATGACCTCCTCATTTTCATGGCCCTTGGAGATGCTTCCTTCTGGCCTAGCACGGTTATGAACATATTTCTTTAAGACTCCCATGAACCTCTCAAAGGGGAACATATTGTGTAGAAATACAAGACCCAAAACGTTAATCTCTTCACATAGGTGAACTAGGACGTGCATCATGATGTTGAAGAAGGATGGTGGGAACACCAACTCGAAACTGACAAGACATTGCACCAAATCATTCTCTAACCTTGGTATGATTTCTGGATCGATTACCTTCTGAGAGATTGCAGTGAGGAATGCACATAGCTTCACAATGGCTAATCGAACATTTTTCGGTAGAAGCCCCCTCAATGCAACCGGAAGCAGTTGCGTCATAATCATGTGGCAGTCATGAGACTTTAGGTTCTGAAATTTTTTCTCTGCCATGTTTATTATTCCCTTTATATTCGACGAGAAGCCAGACGGTACCTTAATACTGAGCAGGCATTCAAAGAAGATTTCCTTCTCTTCTTTGGTAAGAGCGTAGCTTGCATGACCCTGATGTATGCCATCTTTTCCGTGCATACGTTGCTGGTCCTCCCGTGCCTCAGGTGTATCTTTTGTATTCCCATACACGCCCAAGAAGCCAAGCAGGGTCACACAAAGATTCTTCGTCACGTGCATCACGTCGATTGCAGAGCGGACCTCTAGGTCTTTCCAATAGGGCAGGTCCCAAAATATAGATTTATTCTTCCACATGGGTGCGCGTCCGTCAGCATCATTTGGAACAGGTTGTCCACCAGGACCCTTTCCAAAGACCACCTTCAAATCCTTGACCATATCATGTACATCAGCACCAGTACGGTGGCGAGGCTTCGTCCGGTGATCCGCCTCACCTTTGAAATGCTTGCCTTTCTTTCTTACGGGATGCCTGCTCAGAAGAAATCGACGATGTCCCAAGTACACATTCTTCTTACAATTAGCCAAATATATACTGTCGGTGTCGTCCAAACAGTGCGTGCATGCGCGGTATCCCTTGTTTGTCTATCCTGAAAGGCTACTGAGAGCAGGCCAATCATTGATGGTCACGAATAGCAACGCCTTTAGGTCAAATTCTTCCCCCATGTGCTCATCCCACGCACGTACACATGTTCCATTCCACAGTTGTAAGAGTTCTTCAACTAATGGCCTTAGGTACACATCAATGTCGTTGCCGGGTTGCTTAGGGCCTTGGATGAGCACTGGCATCATAATGAACTTCCGCTTCATGCACAACCAAGGAGGAAGGTTATACAAACATAGAGTCACAGGCCAGGTGCTATGGTTGCTGCTCTGCTCCCCAAAAGGATTAATGCCATCTGCGCTTAGACCAAACCATACATTCCTTGCGTCATCTGCAAACTCCTTCCCGTACTTTCTTTCGATTTTTCTCCACTGCGACCCGTCAGCGGGTACTCTCAACTTTCCGTCTTTCTTACGGTCTTCTCTGTGCCATCGCATCGCCTTGGCATGCTCTTTGTTTTGGAACAAACGTTTCAACCGTGGTATTATAAGAGCATACCACATCACCTTGGCAGGAATCTTCTTCCTGGGGCGCTCGCCCTCGACATCACCAGGGTCATCGCGGCTGATCTTATAGCGCAATGCACCGCATACTGGGCAAGCGTTCAAATCCTCGTACTCACCGCGGTAGAGGATGCAATCATTAGGGCATGCATGTATCTTCTGCACCTCTAACCCTAGAGGGCAGACAGCCTTCTTTGCTTCGTACGTACTCTCAGGCAATTCGTTGTCCTTTGGAAGCATATTATTTATCATTACCAGCAACTTTCCAAATCCCTTGTCAGATACACCATTCTCTGTCTTCCATTGTAGTAATTCCAGTGTGGTGCCCAGTTTTTTCTTGTCACCTACGCAATTCGGGTACAACATTTTTTTGTGATCCTCTAACATGCGCTGCAACTTCTTCTCCAAATCACTTGCGCAGTTTCTCTTTGCATCGGCAATGGCCCGACCTAGATCATTAACGGGCTCATCTGATGCCTCTTCTTCAGCTTCTTCCCGCATTGTCGGCTCAGCTTCTTCCCGCATTACCGGCTCAGCTTCTTCCCTCATTGTTGTATCATCGTATTCAGGGAACCCATGGCCAGGATAGCTGTCGTCGTCCTCTTCTTCTTCATTGTCTTCCATCATAACCCCTCTTTCTCCATGCTTGGTCCAAACATTATAGTGGGGCATGAAACCGGACTCAAACAGGTGGACGTGAATGGTTCTTGATGTAGAGTAATTGTGACCATTCTTACAGCCAGCACATGGACAAGGCATAAAACCATCCGCCCGCTTGTTTGCCTCAGCCGCAAGCAGAAAAGTACGCACACCATTAATGAACTCGGGACAGCATCGGTCATCGTACATCCATTGCCGGCTCATCTTCAATACACAGCACCGAAAACACCAAATTAATACAATACATAAAGTTCATACATAAAGATCATACAACACTTAATGCAACAAACAAATAACTCTCTAGCTAAAGAATTTAAATGCAACAACAAATGCGATCAAGATTGCAACTAAGGTAACAATTGATCCAACAGCATAATGATACCAAGGCTCACTATGAATGGCATATTTTCTAATTTTTCTAATCTTCAAGCGCATTTTCTCCATCTTAATCTTGTGATCATCGACGACATCGGCAACATGCAACTCCAATTCCATCTTCTCCCCCTCAATTATTTTCAATTTTTCCTTCAAATCCTCGTTTTCTCTTTCAACTAAATTTAACCTCTCGACAATAGGGTCGGTTGGAATTTCTGGTTCAACTACCTCCTACATACAAATATCTATGTCAACTTGATGGGCATAATTTGTCATAAACACGAAATGCAATGAATAGTTTTAAAAGAGAATATACCACATCCGAATCATAATCCGGACGAGGGCCGACGGGGACGGATATCAAAACCATGGCACTATGTATAACAAACAATGTATGGGTAAGATAATTATACGAGTAACTATATATCCAAATCACACAAACATCAATTTTTTATATAAAACTTCATGAACAAGAGGCTCACCACAAGGTGGTGCCAGCGACGGGACGTTGCGAGCGATCGATGGTAGTTACGACGGAGATTTAGAAGGTACTAAGTAAACCACACCTACATATGCAAACTAAGTGTTATTTTTGACCTCAAATTGCATATAAATCAAATACTAGCACATATATATAATTCCTCCCAAATTACTAAACTCAAAAATCAATCACTATATAAAGCATTGCACGAGCTAATCTAGCAATGAAAGATGAAAGGACAAAGTTGCTAACCTTTGTGATCATTTGAATGGATGGGGGCCTTCATATCTTCACAAATTTTGGGCAAAATGTGTGATGAGCTTGAGAGGAAGAGGGAAAAGAACAGAGAGGAGAGGGGAAAGGGGAAGAACAGAGCGAGCTCGGGTGGACAAAGGGTCTATGTAGGACGACCTTTAGTACCGGTTCATGATACAACCCGATACTAAAGGTGCTGGAGGGGCCCCGGACTGACAACATCCTGCCACCACTCACTTTAGTACCGGTTCGTGGCACGAACCGGTACTAATGAGAGCGGCCGGCTAGCCGTTGAAATCGGCACTAATGCACACATCAGTGCCGGCTCAAATTCAAACCGGCACTAATGCGCTTCACGTTTGACCCTTTTTCTACTAGTGCTTGCCACTATCCACTTTGCTAATGAGAATGCTAGGACAATCACGTGGATGAGCAAAGATGAGCGCTTCTCTGCACCTTGGAAGGATTTTGTAAGACTGCTTCGATATTTCGGGATGGAGGGAGTACTAGAACATAAGCGTTATGGTTACTGCAGCCCATTTTGCACCTGATTGTTTTTTTAGAAATTGGTAGATAGTATGTACATAAATTATAAATATTTTAATAAAAAATGTAAGTTATAATTTCATAATTTAAAAGTTAAACTGTTGACACGAATATTCAACAGTGTTTAATATTTAAATTATATAATTTTTTGAATATTAGTCATGGGTAAATATTATACATAAGTGAACATTCGTAAATATTTAGAGTGTATATATTTTTTGGATTCATTAAACATATTTATTTAATAAACATTTTCAATGTCGGTATTAACTAAATATTTTTATATAATAGACAAGTTTATATTTAAATGTTTTTATTCTAATGATCATTTGCATTGCATGTATAATGTTTTTAGAATGTTACTTTATTAATTACGTGTTACAAGTAGCGCGCGCAAAATAGGCGCAGTATGTTCAGCATATTTAAGTTGCACATGCGTTTGCTTGTTAGTACACGTACTATTTACGCTGGAACTTGATTAGTGGATTGGTTGGAGTACCTCGCGTCGTAAGCGTTCGGAACCTGGCTTCCCCTTTTTCTTTTTCTTTTTGTTAATTCTGGTATCTAAGAGCTGAGCAGTGTGGCTTTTCTGCAAATTAAAAAATATTAGGGGATTTTGCTCAGAAATCCCTCGCGATGGTCAGCTTTTCCGCAAATAAAAAAACGAGTGTGTTTTTGTGCAAAAAAAAAGTCTCGGCCAAGCGCCTTCACTCGCTGACATATGGGTCCATACACACGGATACCCCTGCATACGCATTTGTGACTGTATTTGCACGCTTGAGTCAAGTTTAGCGACCGCAATTCCATATTTTCAAAGTTATAGCACCAAACTTCGAGTGCAAGTATTATGACTTCTGATGATATTACCTCTCTTAAGAAAACAGAATACGGTGTTTTGGTGGGGTCTTTGCGGTGTGATTCAGTGTTATCTGCCGATCAACCCATGCTTATATGAAAAAAAATCTATGTCGGTGGATGCATTTATTATATTGGTGTTACATTACATACCAGCGTTTCTTTTTTCGGGGTGGTGAGTGGGTGCACGGGACTGATATGTTTTATAGTCCGGTTGCTGTCAATTGATTTGAAAAGTGTTGACTTGGTGAGACATGAACCAAATCCAAAATTAAGTACCTTAATCGAATCAGAGAGCTCCTAAACTAGGGAGCATAATGAATTAAAAGAATTATTGATGCTATAGTATCAGTGCTGATATGTTTTATAGGCCAATTGCTGTCAATTGATGACAAATCATTGATCCGATCAAAATCGTAAACTGAATTCAAAAGTGAATACCTCTAAGATTAGGGAATATAGTGAATTAAAAGAATTGGATGAGAGAGCTCCTTATAAAATTATATTATTGGCCCCTTAGAAAACTTTAAAAGGGTCTTTTCGTTAATCTGCATTAAGTAAGTAAGCGGTTAGGCATCTTCAATGCGGACCTCACACCGCCTGTAAACGTCCAGACATAATTGTCCAGGCACTGCAAACCATCCAGCGCAGTCCGGACACCACCGCCATGTACGCGTTTCGCATGCCGGTCCCACCCCAATAACCTCTCCCGCTTGACCTCTCGTCTGCTCCTCGCGTCACATTCATGCCTGGAGCCGGCATTGAAGCGGTGCGTCGACCGAGAGCGTCGCTCGCGCCGCGTCCCGGTCTCCACACCTGTTTAATGTCAGAGAGACGTGACCGGACGAGACGGGACGAGGTCAGGTCCGGTGCGGTGGGTTGGTTGGTGAGGACCAGTTCCAGTGTGACCACTTTTGTTTTGATATTGTGCAAACAAACTAGGCAAAACCCCAAAGAAATGTTTACTCTTCCAATGGATCGGTTAGAGTTGCTCTAATATAATGAAGATCACCGATGAACTGAAGAAACTAGATACTACCATGTACTCCCTCCGATGCATATTAATTGTTGTTGCTTTGGTACAACTTTAGTACAAAGTTGTAGTAAAGCAACGACAGTTAATATGGATCAAAGAGAGCAGAAGATATCACTTCTGTGCCGGTTATGATTCAGCTTCTCGTTTCAAATAATGCTGGATCAAAATGTTGCACATTTAAGTCAGTTTAAGCGGGTCCTAAATATTTCGGTGGCATGTGCATCTGACCCAAATTCATACAGAACACAAATTAACTTGGTCATACTTCCAAAATTCAGTGCTCAGACGAATTTATGATAACAAATTACAAGTCATTACTTCGGTTTAGAGAATATAACTCTGATAGTAGCTTAATTCTTGACATACATTTCGACATATAGAAACAGGAGAATTCAGAGACTATATAAATCAGTAGAGCGAGAGCAGTCGTCCATGCCCACCCAATTCTGGAGCGACCTTGGAACGGGAGGTACTTGGACATCCAGAACGCCTTCAAGCATCTGAACAACTTGCCCCATCATTGGCCTATGATCTTCAGCATCCTGAATGCACCAGCATGCAGTTCTGCAAGCCCTGATCAGCTGCTCCACATCCACATCCACATCGTCTTCCAACCTGCTATCCAGCAGGCACATAACATCTCCTTCATTCACCTTGACTGCAGCAAAGATGGGAAAGTAAGTAAACCTCCCCTGTTTGATTTTCTCCGCATTCCTTCGCCCCGATACGATTTCAAGAAGCATCATTCCGTAGCTGTAGGCATCAGCCTTATGCGTGATCGGTAGCCCTGAGATCCACTCCGGCGCAAGGTATCCGATGGTCCCACGCATCGTTGTCAATGCCCTGCTAAAATCCCGGCCAAGAAGTTTGGCCAAACCAAAGTCTGCAACCTTAGGACAGAAATCTGCGTCAAGGAGTACATTGTCCGGCTTCATGTCACAGTGTATGATACAGTCCGTGCATCCCTCATGCAGGTAAGCCAAGCCTCTTGCAGTTCCAAGTGCTATCCGGTACCGGACCTCCCAGCCCAAAGCTGCCGGGCTTTTCGAAAACAGATGAGAACTCAAAGATCCATTCTCCATGTACTCGTACACCAGCAGCCTTTTACTTCCTTCGGCACAAAATCCAAATAAACGAACAACATTGATGTGTTGGATCATTCCAATCGTTTGCACTTCCGCTCGGAATTGCTTCTCCCCTTGTCCAAATTCTTTTAGCTTCTTGACAGCCACCACAGAGGAACCTTGCAATGTTCCCTTGAAAACACAGCCAAAACCTCCTTCTCCAAGCTTTACCGAGAAATTTCCGGTAGCTTTCTTTATCTGGGCGTTTGAGAAGATCGTGAGGCTGCTGTTCGAATTCACCGGTCTGTCCATAAATGACTTCTTCTGGATTATCCGCAAAAGAACTAGACCAGTGAGGACGAGGGTTAACACAACTATCACTGTTGAAATAACAATTTGTATCTTGTGAATATGTGGAGCATGAGCAGACCACAACACAGATCCACATTCCCCAAGTTTAGCTGCAGTCATAGTACCGCCGTTATTCAGCTGTACATATACACGTGCATCGCTGAACAGGAGAAAATTGCCTCCATCTTGATGTATCCCCATCCAGCTGGGGAAAGTGCCGTGATAAATTTCATGATAATCTTCCTTATTGGAAACATATTCATCAATCTGTTCGACAATAAACCCTCCACCTTGGTTTGGATTCATGGCCAGAACTAAACCATAGTTGTAATCCCAGTATATAACAGAAGCATGGGGAATAAGGAAGATGTTGTTGCTCGTGTTTCTATTAAATCCCAGCCATCCTCCAGGCAGCAGTGTACCAATTGGATTATCAAAGCTTTGCCAGATCACCAGTGAACTCTTCACTGGATCTCTTATTACGAGATTTCCATTGTCAAGAAGCACTGTGAGTAGAGAAGTAGTAGTACTATTTATAACTTCTGATGAATACGGATATGATGACCATCCAGGAATTATTCCACCGCTAACTGGAATACAGTCTAGTTCTAAGTTGCCATAGGTTGTGAAGCCAAAGCTCGAGTACACAGGGTAACAGTTTGTGGAATCACCTAAGGGCGACCAAACTAGAAGAGGGCGACAAGCTGATGACTTAATATACCATATGCCAAACGTAGAATCATAACCACAAGGAGGAAACAGGCAGTCGAAACCCAACTTGAAGGCACCATTTTTCGAAAGCAAGGTCTGGTTACCACTTAGAAATTGGCCCGGAAGGAGAGTATCAGTTGCATACGCAAATTTAGAACCTGAAGACATGACCTTGATCATCAAGTAGAGAAGTATTACTGCAAACTCTATGTGGATGTTCCAACTCCAAAAGCAAGTTGAGTCGAGGGTGGTGATTTAGAAATGTTTGGGCTGAATAAAAGCAACTCCAAAAACACTCAATAAACTCGAAAAGTGTGTGGAAATTATTGAGTCATTCATGACAAGTCCTAATCATCCTGGAAAATGTTTCGACTCCCTCGCCCTAGGACAAAGGTAAGTTCCTTTTCTTCTGCTTGTGGATGTTGGTGTTAGCCAAACTTGCTTGCTGGCTGGCTAGCTGCTGTGGAGCGAGACGTTTGGTTGAAAAAAACAGCCAAGGGACACGGACGGCATTGATTGTTGGGCTGAAGACTGCTGACCCTGGAAAAGCACTTGATAATCTCTAAAACCATTGTAATAAGCAACAAAAAGAAACAATGTCCAAGACATGAGTTCACCCCATACATCTAGCAGGGAGAATGACTCACCTCGAGCCCGCTCTTCCGGTGCAGACGCTGCCTTTGCGGTGGGCAATTTCTCCAAGCATATATCTAGCAGGGTTCGTGCAATTTCATCAATGTTTCAGCTAGTAGAGAAATTGCTGAGGCATGTACGTACCAAGCAGCAGGTTTCAGGAGACAAATGTTTGAGAAAAACTAATGTATGTACCCCAGCATGCACGCATGCTTGCTTGCTTGCTTCATTCCCAGTTTAACCAGCTTCTGCACTCCTTCCTCAACATCAAGACAACACACAGGCACAGGTACATGAGCTTCAGCACGTAGTCGTTCATACATCCACAAACATCACTGGTCTTACTCTGCTTGTTACTCAACCTGTCCTTGCCTAGTACAGACAGACAGACAGAGAAGAACACGCTAGTACAAACAGCTCTACCCTCAGATCACGTCCTTCTCCTTCTCCCTCCCTACACTACACAGGCTAGCTAGCACAGGACAAGCACTGGCATGACATGCACCACCTTGTCTGTCTATTCTACGGCTCCTTCACCACAGCCTTGAGTGCATCCCCGGCCGTCACCCTCAGTGGCACGAAATCTGGACACACGCAAAACAAACGGCAAGATGTCTGTCTGTCAGCACCACCCAGTCTTTGCTACACACATACTACGCAGGCATCTGCGGATTTAAACAGAAATAGGGTAAAACAAGCTTTACCTGATAGGAACTTGTACCGTTTCTCATTGCACACCGCCGTCGCTGAAAAGATATATAGGACAGCAGAGTCATTGTAAGATTTGTGGTTTTAGATTAACTTGGAATTGATACAAGAACGGTTCAGATTTATCAACACCAACAGTAGAGGAAATGATGATAACTTTAGGGTACTCGCAGTTCTTTTAAATAAAGAACCCTCAAGTCTTTGGAAAGTAATATTTGGCATCCAACAAAACATGTCTGGTTCCTTGAAAAACAAACTTGATATCAAATTTGCTAGCACAACACCCAATGTATCAAGCGCTAATACAGGCTAAGGATTGCAACCGATAATGGGAAAACAGATACCCACTTCAATTACTCATGCAAGATGTCCTAGGGGATGTGACATAGCCTACTCAGACAAGAGTGGCGAAAACCATCGTAACAATAGGGTAAGACATTATGACCACTTGCTTTACTAATGAGTATCATATCAAATGCATCCACTGTATGGTCTACAGAGGCTCTTTATTTCGACATGAACTGTCTTTCAGGCAGCATAGTCAACAAACAAGATAAATGGGTTCCTAGATAAGGATACAGCAAACAAAAGGAGGGTCAACTTACAAAGGTTCTCGTAGGTAATTGACTTTTTACGTTCCTTCAGGGCATTCTGATGAGCATCCTTCGCAAATACCTCCAAGAATAACTCCTGCAGGTGCATGTGTAACATGAATATATATATAACACGATAACACTATCCAGTTCGAGATTCAGTACATGTCATAATCACTGCATACCAAAAGAAAATGGCACTGGTACATAAATACAAGTTGCAACAAAGATAAACGAGGTACACCAGCCACTGTTTCCCATAACACTTTTGAAATACTCCCTCTGTAAACTAATATAAGAATAATTTAGATCACTACTTTAGTTTAGTGATCCAAATGATCTTATATTAGTTTACAGAGGGAGTATCGTGCAAGCAAAGAGAAGCCACTCCAACAATCTGATCCTTGCTTGGTGTTACTTTTCTTGTCACATCCATGTCGTAATTACTCCCTGTCGTTCTCACTTCTCGGGATTATTTTTTACTCGTTGGGCATCGCTTCAGGGTAGCTCACATTACATTTCCTAGAATTCAAGAGGCTATTTTAGAACTGAACTTTAGAACAAGAATGATGACATTCTAATAGCATCCTCACTGAAACTGAAATCCATGCACATTACAGAAGTCTAAGCACCAGAACTCACTTGGCAGATTGGAAATCTGAATTTTGAATTTTGAATCAGCAGAAATAGACAACACTATCCCATTGAAGATTCAGTAGATGTCATAATCACTGAGTACCAAAAGAATGGCACCGATACATAAATACAGGTTGCAACGAAGATAAACAGGGTACACCAACCATTGTTTCCCCCCAATATTTTCAAAAAAAATGAAAAATGGTCAAACAGCAAGGAAAGAGAAG